TATAATATAATAAAATATAATGTGATATAATATAATGTAATATAATACAATAAAATATGATATAATATAATATGATATAATATAATAAAATATAATATGATTTAATATAATGTAATATAATAAAATATGATATTATATAATGTAATATAATATAATGTAATATAATAAAATATGATATTATGTAATGTAATATAATATGATATAATATAATAAAATATGATATTATATAATGTAATATAATATGATATAATATAATAAAATATGATATTATATAATGTAATATAATATGATATTATATAATGTAATATAATATTTTAAAAAATCTGTATGACTTTTTATAACTGTTTATTGTTGTTGCTGTTGTCCATTGTGTCATCATTCTTTGTTGAAATCAGGTCTCTCTTGTAAATGAGTCCTCGAGGCTCAATGGGATTTACCTGCATAAATAAAGGTTGATTGAATGAATGAATATAATATACAGTAATACAAATATAATATAATTTACTGTACTGAAGGGAGGAGACCCCACAATATTGAACAATTATCGACCAAAACTCTGTATTTTAGCTAAGTTTTAGAAAAACTGATAAACTCTCAAATCAAAATTTTGGACTCATTTAACATCTTACCTCCACATCAGTCTGGTTTCAGGAAACAACCCAGCACAACCACTGCTTCGCTGAAGGTTTTTAATGGCATTGTTGAAGCACTGGATGCTAAGGATCATTGTGCTGCACTTTTCTTAGACCTGTCTAAAGATTTTGACACTGGATCATAACATCTTGTGTCATAAACTCAGATCACCTCATTGGTTGTTTCTGTAATTATCCCTCAGATCGGTGGCAATGTGTTCAACATAATAATACTTCTTCCAGTTAACAATGGTGTACCACAAGGCTCAGTCTTAGGACCCACACTTTTCACAATCACAGTGGGTTTGTATGATATTTATTATCCTATTTATGATTTCTGCATGAAAAGATTCACACTGAGAGAAGTTCTTAGTTACCAAAGTAGGACACTAACTTCATAACAACTAAAAACCAAACTCTCTCTCTCTCTCTCTCTCTCTCTCTCTCTCTCTCTCTCTCTCTCTCTCTCTCTCTCTCTCTCTCTC